TACTATTATGGACTACTGGACTCTTTTAGAATATTTTGCTGAGTTAACACACCTATAATATTCAAATAACAGAACTTAACAAAAAAAGAGATACAGATGAATGTCCATTTTGTATCTGTGTATTCAAAATGGTTAGCATAGATATATAGTTACATTCTCTTAATGAATGGAGGGATTTGTTCTAATGGTGTTTGTAAATAGGATATCAAGTCCACATCTTGTACAGCAATTAACCACTAGGAAGAATGTATGCAATGTGCTAATTATTGAAACTGCCCTACCAATCTGGTTTGAAACTGTCTCATTGCTATTTGTTTCTCAATAAAATTATGGGGGGAAAAGTGAAAAAAGTTATAGCAGAATGATAGAAGATAAAAGGAGAAAAGAATTGAGAGGGAAAATCATCTCAGAAAATAAAAAAGAAGAAGGGCGAAAGGAAAAAAAAATCTGTGGCCCAGCCCTCCCCAAAATCCTGCATCTTCTCTCCAACATGTAGTGCTCACAGAGCTGCTCTCCTTTCTTTCCCAAGCTGTCTGAGTCCTGAGATGCCATATAAATCCACTCACATTACTTGTACTATAAAACTATGAAGATATGCACTCAGGAAGTGCATGATTAATCTTTTGTTAAAGGGAAATAATTTTGAGCTGAGAACATTTTAGCTCTTGTAATGAACTACCTCCCTCTGTTTCACCTAACTCTGCCACAGTTCCTTCATCTCTATGCTTCTTTTTTTTAACAATTTCATTGAGAAACAAATAGCAATGAGACATTTCAAAACCAATTACTAGCACACTTTCAATAACTAATACATTGCATTTTGTTTTTAGTGATTGTTCATTATACAAGATTCATACATGATATCCTGTCCACAAACACGAGGAGAACAAATCTCTCTATTCATTAAATTAAGAGAATGCAGCTGTATATCTATCCTATTTTGAATATACAGATACAAAATGGTCGATCATTTGTATACCCCTTTTTTGTGTAGTTTTGTCAGAGAAGGGTATTCCATTGTCATTTAAATATTGTAGGTGCATGAATTCAGCAAAACTGTGGTACAGGGTTTCAGGTTAAATCCTGCTGGGATTTTTTTTAATGAAATTGTGATTTTTTTATTTTAAAGAAAATAAAAATAATAAAAATGATACAGAATTTCATCACAAGATGAAAAGAAATTAACAGTATTTACTTTTTATATCTAAAGAAGCATTTATTCATTATCAATTATATTTGTTTTCTCTAAACAAGAATCATTTGTTTCTATTGTGCTTATTTTTCTGCAGTTAAACTGGGAATGTATAGGAACCCCAACCCAAAGAAATGACATTCTTAGAAACTGGATTCTCTGATTTTCTTTTCAGCCTATTTCAAGGCAATCCATGTGTTAATGTCTTTGCTCATAGTTGGCCCATACCAACTGTGGTTGTTTAATCCAAATATCTGGGCAGCAAACTTTTTCCTTCTGGAGAAAGTATGGTTGAACAGCTGAGACCACTGGGTAGTCTCAGAGAAGACCACACATCCTGAGCTCCCCAGCCTGATGTGAGGGGAGGACAGCTGATAACAACATGCAGTGTTTCCAGACATCACTGGGCCTACACCACTGCTTGTGCCTGTCACTGCCATGAGCACAGTTGGAATGCCATCCCCTTCATACTCAGCTTTATTCTTCAGAGTTTCATCTGGGCCTTTATGGGCAGATGTTACTCGAAGTTCACAGGGAATCTCATAATCCAAATCCTTGATTTTTTCATCGTGACCAAAATCAGAAGTTGAGCACATCAACACTACAATCCTGCACTGGTTTTCTGATTGCAGAAGCAGGTGTACTCTCTGCAACTCATGCAAATTTCTTCTTTACCACCTGGAGCCTTCAGGGGTTACTTCCTTGAGGTCACAGTAAGACTGTTTGTCTTTCTGCTGGCTTCAATATCCTGATGGCCAGATTCTCCAGGAATCATTATCAGTATCATCAATGAGAACAATTTCTTTGGTACCCACATCGACACAAAATTCAATCTTCATATCAGCCAGTGTACAGTTCTGGGGCAACCAAGGTTTCTCCAGTATTTCAAAAATAGCTCTTGACATCGCCAGTCCCATGGACAACCCGCCACTACCATGGACTACTGGACTACATGGGAATATCTTGCTGAATTCACGCACCTACAATGTTCAAATGACAACGGAACACCCATCTCTGAAAAACTAAAACAAAAAAGGGACACAAATGAAGGACCATTTTGTATCTGGATATTCAAATAGGATAGACATACAGCTACTTTCAATTCAATTGCAGAAAGATTTGTTCTAATAGTTTGTGGACAAGATAGCATGTCTGCATCCTGTACTATGAGCAACCACCAAGAAGACAACAATATGCAATGCATTCATCGTTGAAACTGTCCCACTAATCAGTTTTGAAACTGTCCCATTGCTATGTGCTTCTCAATAAAACTATTTCAAAAATAGTTTGTGTAGAATGACTCATGATATCCACTTCAGGTTGGCTTATAACAAACCTAGCAAAGCAAAATTTTGCAGCAATTAGCTGTTCCACAGACCACTGTGGATCATTATTAGCATCATGCTTGAAAAATAGCTCTACTTTAGGTGGGAAACACTTAAATCCTTCCTTGACACCAGGATTTCTTTTGAGAAAAAAAACCACCTGCTATTCTTCTGCAAACCCATTCAAATGGAATCATTTAACACTGGGGTGCAACAAAATCTGTCTCTCCACATTCTCTGGTAAAAGCAGTTTTGATACCTGCTTCCTGTAACAACTGGCAAATGCAACTGGTAATCTTATTGCAGATGGCAGCTTTTCCTTCCAGATGATTCTTTCTGGCTGCATTTCTGGCTGTAATCTAGTCCTTGGACTGCAGGAAGACTTTTCCTGGACTATCAATTCAGAGATTTCTATGATAGCTAAGGTAACCTATTAATTTCCATTAATTCATAGAAAGGAAGAGTTAGGCCAGGGAGATAGCTCAGTGGAATAAGGGCTTCCCTGGCAAGCTCAAGGGCCTGAGTTCAATCCCCGGTTCTGCCAAAAAAAAAAAAAAAAAGAAAAGAAAGGAAGAGTTAGTGCTTAGATAACAATATGAATTATAGTAAACACTGCTGGTGGTCACTGTCTTCAGCCTGTTCAGGATCATGGTGACAGCAGAGGTATTGAACATTGGCAAAAAAACTGAATGAGGGTGAAACAAAAGAAGTCCCTGAGAGGATTTGACTGACCTTATCAGACACAAAAGTTTCATTTCTTGTTATATAGGTCTTGCTTTATCTTGGTCTTAACCATCCAGTATAAAAGTATTAAAAAATGTAAAAAGTAAAGATATATTAATATGCTGAGCTGTAAAAGGCTCAAGTCAACAACTTCTGACCAGTGCCAGTCTTATGGAAAACCCATTACTATTATGGACTACTGGACTATATTGCAATATTTTGCTGAATTCATCTCTGTACTTCTTTATTTGTTTTTGCTTTTATTGTTGTGGTACTGGGAATTAAGCCCAGGGTCTTGTACATGTTAGTCAAGCTCTTTTTCACCAAGCTCCATACTCAACCCTATTTTTCCCCATCTTGTTTCCCTTTATCTCTCCCTAGCTCTGTCAAGTCTTCCCAAACATCATCTTGTCTTTCCTCTCTGTGGTAACTTCCCTACCTCCCCTTTCCACTTCCAATTCTCACACTATCTCCTCTCTTTCTCTCTCTTTCTCTCTCTCTCTGTCTCTCTCTCTGTCTCTCTCTCTGTCTCTCTCTCTGTCTCTCTCTCTCTCTCTCTCTCTCTCTCTCTCTCTCTCTCTCTCTCTCTCTCTCTCTCTCCTCACATCTATGTAATTCTGACACTCTACTAATGCCAGTACTGACCACTGGAAAGCCAGGATCTCAGAGCCTAGATTAAGTGGAGAGGTTTAAAGGTCCCAATGCATGGGAGATAGTTCTGATATCTTGCCCCACCAGCCAGTGGTTGATCATTAACTCAGCCATTATATAAAGAAGGGACAACACTTGGGATGAGAATTCCATCATCTGCAGCCATGGCCAGCACAGGAAGTTCCAACACCTCAGCTGGAATTCCAGAGCTGCCTTCACTGTCAGAGCGCATCCAAAATCCTGCTGACATCTCTGTCATTGTCATCTATTTTGTGGTGGTCATGATTGTTGGGCTATGGGTATGTGGGAGCCTAGTAGGGATCAGAATTTGATCTGATTCATGGCGGCAAAAGTATTTTAGGGTGGGAGAAGTGTGGCATGGCAAATTTAATACTGAAAGATTCCATGAGTGTCACTGTGTTATGAATCATTTACTTAAGTGTGGCATAAATAATGCTTATCACAAGTATATGTATTCTCTTAACAATCTCAACAGTTGAAAAGAAATAGAGTTAGGAATTATAGACTTATTCTTTTTGGCACCTCCAGCACTGCAAATAATGAACATAAATGTTATTTTTATTATCAATTTCATTTATTTTCCTTTACCATTTGCTCATTTTCTGGATTGGTGATTTAGACATTTAAAACATTTGTATTATGGAATTTCTTGAAGTCCTTCCAGTTCTGAATTTTTATAAAACTATGACTTCCAAGTTCATTAAAAATTGATGCTGACATTTTGTATCTGTGTATTCAAAGTGGTTGGGATAGATATATAGTTGCATTCTCTTAATGAATAGAATGATTTTTTCTAATGGTGTTTGTAAATAGGATCACAAGTCTGCATCTTGTACAGCAATTAACCACTAAGAAGAATATATGCAGTGTATTATTTGTTGAAACTGTACTTTCGATTTGATTTGAAACTGTCTCATTGCTATATGTTTATCAATAAAACTTTGAAAAGAAAAAAAAATTGATGCTGAATCATAGTTTCTAGGAAAATATGTCTGTCTGTAGGAGCAGGAAAAAAAAAAAAAAAAAAAAAACCCTCATCAACGTCAGTACCTTGACCAGGGTAGCTGGGGAATTAGGATTCTTAAATAAATCTATTATTCGAGCCTGATATGTCTTTTCTTTGGCTCAGGCAATGCTGAAGACAAACCGAGGCACAATTGGTGGTTTCTTCCTGGCCGGTCGAGAAATGACCTGGGTGCCAGTAAGTAAGACATTTCCTGAAGATAAATTCTGTGTGTGTGTGTGTGTGTGTGTGTGTGTGCGTGCGTGAGCGCGCGCGCGGGCGCGAGAGCGTGCGTGTGTGTGTATTTAAGTTTGAATTTAAAAATAGAGATAGTGATCATTTCTGATATAGCATTGTTCTGATATATCATTCCTGTTCCTAAATCCCTGACATCATGTCTTCATGGCCTGTGATTTAAAAACAAGATAATAATGCTATCAATTGAGAGTAGGTTTAGTCTTCTATTTGAAGATCCCCCTATTCAGCTGTATTTCCATTCTTTTCCCTTGATCTTCATCTATAATTTTCTGCCTCAGAGTCTTGCTAGAACCATTTTATCTTTGTTCCCAACCTTGTGCTAATCCTGCTACCTTCCTCAGGAATGCCCTCCCACTTTGCTCTCCTTCTTTAGAATCCCACTTGTTCATGGATCACACCAGCCTTGCCCTGAATATCTGTCTAGATCTTATGCTCTACAAACTTTTGATAGTGAGTCATGATCCCTGTAATATTAATATTTTCCCTTTTGACTCTTGAGTGCTGGATATTAGCCTTTTTTAATTTAATGCATGGCCTCTTTGGCTGAATTCCTATTGCAGTAATCCTCTATGAACCTACAAAAAGGCAGAATTGTAAAGGGTATATAGTAGATTTTAAATAATTGCTTTCTTCACAGGTTTTCTAGATCATCTAGTATGAAAAGAAATGGAGACTGGAAAATGATCTGGCCAGGGTGATTGTAGAAAACCAACTGCAAACTCAAAAATAGAATTTAATTTGAAACAATTCAGAACTTGCCCCTCTTATTGCTGGCTTGGTGAACATACAAGTCTCAGCCATAACCAAAGCCATACGTATTTGAATAGAAAAATTATACAGATTCAAAAGGTAGAAATAGAAGAGACATTGCAAGATCTAACATCAATACTGTTCTGTCAGAACTGTGTCGATTCAAGAAAATTTTCTTTGTCTCTGAGTCTTAAGAATAGCAGACAAGGTGATAAAGAGGAAGATTAATAAGAACAAGGTCCCATGGCAAAGCACTTAGTGAGTAATTCCCTCCAACCTTGGGTTACTTGTTGCTGGATCAAGAAGCAAGGACTGATAGATGTCTAAGAGTCTGGGACCAAAGATAGGCTCAACTCAAAGCTTGTAGGAAAAGATACATACCAATGCCACATACACAAGATTTTTTCTGTAAAAGACAGTTTTGTGGGCTGGCCAAATAGCTCAGTGGATTAAAACTCTTACAAGCAGGTGCAGGGGCCTGGGGCTTGATCCCCAGGCCTGCTGTACCAGCCCCACTGTTTGCTTGTTCTTGCTCTAAAAAGTAAGGATTAGAATATCTCAATATCTATTATCTCTCAAGAAGTCTGATTTGGATCTCTTTACTCTAACCATAGTTTTTTCTCTTGTATTTCAGATGGGTGCCTCCCTCTTTGCCAGTAATATTGGCAGTGGTCACTTTGTGGGGTTGGCTGGAACTGGAGCAGCTTCAGGAATTGCTGTTACAGCATTTGAATCTCATGTAAGTAAGTCAAACCCTATCCAGACAGTTTAATGAAAGCATGCACCAAGTTTTTCTTGGAATCCATACAGGTTATATTCCTCTTTGGTTTGATTTTTAGTTTCCCTTTTCCTCATCCATTCTTTGACATTCAGCACCTCTGCAGAGTCACTCTCCCTTGGCCATTCCAGTCATGTTATAACTTACATCTCAGCTTTCGCTCACATGGTTATTCCTACCAAGAATGTCATTTCTGTTTGATTCAATCCCCACTTTTCCTTGATCTCTTTGACCATTCAGCTCTCACTTTTGTTTTTTTTTTTTCTGAAGTGTAACATTTTCTCAGCCCCGAACTAGAATTAACAAATATTTTAAAAAGAAAAAGTCAGGGTTCTTTATCTGAAAAGCTTAGATTCCAGTGGGTAGACAAACATATACTCTATGCAGGCTAAGACAGTATAAGAATCACTCATTAAGTATTAAGAGATTTCACAGGGCATGTCCACCATAGAATGATGAGTTGGGCCTGGAACATGTCAAGGAACATTCCAGGTGCTGATGTCAGATGGATGGCAGAGACCATCCAAGTAAGGCCTGACCAGAGAAACAGGAAAAGTAAATTTTTAATAGTAAGTAGAATTCACAAACCTGTGGTGGATCTTCTAATTGTTTTATTGTTTAACCAGTAGGACCTGAGCTCACTTAATCAGATAAGGACAGGCATCACGTCCTCTTTTTTATTCATACTACCTTATATCTGGCGCATGACTAGCCATGCAAGGAACATACTATGAATGTTCTTGAGTAGTATGAGGTTTTCTGGGGTTTTTTATCCTTTCTAGGCTTTCATGAACATTTGGTATGGGTTTGTTGGTGACAGGAAGAAGCTTGTGTGAAAGAAAGTTGATTCATTGTGAAGACTTAAACAGACTATTCCTGACGGTCTCAGGCCAAGACCTTGACTTACAAATGTCTTTGCCCTTCCTTATGTGAAAGGTCTTTGCCCTTTCTGTGTTGAGGTTTTTTTTTCTTTGCCTTTATTTCAATAGTATCAGTATACATTAAGACCTCCAGATAAGCCTTATTGCTAGAGATTTGTTTTGACAGGTCCATGGACTCCAGAATGAAGCAGCCTCCAGAGGCATGGACAGAATGACCTATAGTCTAATGAGTGAAATTGTTAGGCTTCAGATAACTTAGCTGCTGCACCCATTTTATCTTTGACCTTGGGCTTCCTTCATGTCCATGAGGCTCAAGTTCCACCTATATGAGCAATAACAACTGTGTTTATCTTACTGACCTCACTGGTTGTTGCAACAACATAAGTAATATACCTTTGGAAAAATTACATTTTAGTACTATATTGCATTGTATTATTTTATATTTGACAAAACTTAGATGGTACTAGGAATATTCTTCTGTCTCCACATTTCTCTCTCATGGCTAACAAAATTCTATTATTCAAGATTATTTCCTTTGGCAAAGTTTTTATGAACTTCCAGTATCCCAGATAGACTCAGATTGCTTTGGTCTTTTTTCACCACACATATTTCATTACATTACAAGCTCCCAAAAAATGGTAGCTTCTGAATCACAGAAACAGGGGAAAGGAACACAAAGTTTTCTGGTGACCATAACTGTTAAGTAGGACTAGATCTAAAATAAAAATTCTGTTTGTTTTTTTTTTTTCTTTTCAGATTCAGAGGTCATAAAATAATGAGGCCTTCAAGCCAAGCCTCTTTAACTTTATGTTTTTCTTGGTCTCTTACAGTCCTTGCTACTACTGCTGGTTCTAGGATGGTTCTTTGTCCCCATCTACATCAAGGCAGGGGTAAGTATCTATATGTGTTCTTTGAAAACCTTTTGGACATAAGATGTGGTGTCTAAATTACTAAAAACATTATAGCATTTTATTGTTTTGTAATTATTTTATTTTTTAATTTTAATGAGAGATAAGATAAAATAGCAATGAAACAGTCTCAAAACAGGTTATTAGGATAGTTACAATAATTAATACATTGCATATTGTTGTCTTCATAGTAGTAACTCAGAGGACAAGATGCAGACATGATATCTTGTCTAAACAATATTAGTACAAAGTTTTATTCTCAATGAACTAAGAGAAAGTAGCTGTATATCTGTCCTAACTCTTTTGTATACATATATTTTTTTCTCTTTTTTTACAACAAAACAATCCTTTATTTACACTTTCGTGAAGTTAGTAAAGCATGACACTAGGTTGCCTAGTCACTAATAGCTAATCTTAACTACACAAGATGTTCATCTCAGGAGTGAGGTAGCTTGTTTGCTTTAGGCACTGGGCCAAGCCCCACCTACATATATTTGATCAATTTCCTAGCTTCTTGGCTCCCAACATATCCCCCTTTTTTATTTTGTTTTGTCAGAAATGGATGTTCCACTGCAGTTAGAGAAGCAGTATTTGGAGAAGTCTTCAAAGGACATTTTCATACTTGAAACCAGTCTAAAGATTGTAGGTAGGGGCTGGGGAAATAGCTCAGTAGGATAAGCACTTGCATGGCAAGTGCAAGAGCCTGAGTTCAATCCTCAGTTCTGAAGAAAAAAAAAAAGATTGTAGATACTTGAACTCAGCAAAATAAACCAATATAGTTCAATAGTCCATAATAGTAGTGAGTTATCAGCACAACTGGCAATTGTCAGAAGTTGACTTGAGCCAAACCTACACGGACTACTAAAATCCCAGCACTGGGATTATAGGCATGCACCACCATGCACAGACTCAGTCCCTGGCTCCGTGCCCCCCCATGGGGGTGGGGCCAATGCAGCATGCAGGACCAGGGATTGAACCCTGGTCCCTGCACTTGTCAAAGCAGGTGCTTAGTCTGCTGAGGTATCTCGCTGGCCCTCCAGACCTATTGTTAAATATATACAGGTGATAAAAATCAAAGTCCTTGCCCATAGCACCTTCTAGTGTAAAATGTGGATGTATTTAAATGAAAAATCAGCAGTGATCTTACCATGGTAGAGATAAGTTTGGTGTGGAAATCCTAAAACTGAGGTCACCCATGTGTTCCAAACAAAAAAAAAAGCTTCCCACCTGGCATAGTGCACACCTGTAATCCCAGCACTGAGGGGATGGAGGCAGAAAGATCCCTGAGTTTGAGGTCAACCTGGGCTACATAATGAGTTCAGCCCATCCCTTGAACTTCATAGTAAGACCCTATCTCAAAATCAAAAAATTGACTTCCCAAAATTATCTAACTTAGGTCTTGAGAGATGAGGCTTACTCTGTGGATAGAAAAATCAAATCTTAGAATGTCAAAGATTGCAATGTATGGAAGGTGAAAATCCTCCTTACTTGGCCTATCTGGAGATCAAGTAATATTAGGGTTCAAATGGATAGAATGTGTGGAAAATAGAGGTGAACCTACAAGTATAGGTGAGATTCAACTGTGAAAGGCGTGTGTGTGTCTTATAGTTTAAGTGTATCTTACATTCTTCTAGAAATGGAAATATAGGATTTCAGGCACTCAAGGGTCACAACTACATCATGTTTCAGGATGTTGTATTCAGACAACTGAGTAGATAATGAGCTTGAGGAAATTACAGGATCCTTTGAGAGCCTCTAGGAAGGAACTAGAAAGAAAGGGGAGATGCTTCTTGATTATTGGTGGCAAGAGGATGGCAAATTACAGGTAATGGCAGTGAAAAGAGTTGCATTATGAGCAAATATAATATTTGAATTTCAGAGGCCTGAGGCATAAAGCTTTCATTATTGAGTTGGATGTGCAGAGGGAAGTCAGGCAATGCATAACAGGGAGGCAGCACTCCTAGGGGGTGAGTCAACATTGGAACTGGCTGAAAATGTGGTACGTGTAGGACACCAAAGTGGACATTACCAGAAGACAATGGAAGATACCAAAGCTAGTCAATAGGGAGATCTCCACTGGACTTATCAAGAGAAAGATTTTTCTCTTTGGAACATTGTTTGAGCACCCAACCTATTGCTAGTCACTGTGCAATGTCAGGAATGCCTGTGAAAATAAAGTAATGATTTCTCCACCAAGAAGAAAGACAATAGAGTATCTGTCATTTCATTTGGAAGTGCTGTCTCGAACCAACCCAGCTAACAGTGGAAAGGTTCCCAAAACAATCTGAGCATTAAGGGAAGTACCTCAGGAAGAATCATCATGTGAAGACTTGGGTGATGAGCAAGGTTAGCCAAGAAAAATAGGTGTTATGGGTGGCTGAGCACAGGGAATATTGTATGAAAAGCCCAGGAAGAAAGATTGGCACTCTGTGAGCACCTTCCTGGAATGGTTCAATGTGGCTGATGCACAGGGGTAGAGATGGGGGCCAGAGGTTCTCAACAGACTTGGGTTTAGAGAGATTCAAAAGAAGCCAATAAGCAAGACAGTGAAGGGTTGAAGGGTTGAGATTTACTCACATTCCCCTCAATCTACAGTCATAATTTTCTTAAGTCTGGAAAAATTCTCAGTGGCACTTAATCCATTTTATGTTGCTATAAATGTTTCTGGGTGCTATAAAAAAAGGAATTTCACAGTTCTGGAGATTCAAGAGCACGGTATTGGTATCTTCTCAGTGTGAGGAGGGTCTTATGGTAGCTGGCATCACATGATATGAGCAGAAAATAAAAGTCACATGGCAAGAAAAGAAGCCAAACTTGAGTTACAAAAACCTCCTCTCAAGATGAAGATGTAGCTTTCTCCTGTAATACTTTCTCCACATTGTGAGGCCTTGGATTCCAGCCCCAGTACTGCAAGTGAAAGGCAGGGGCTCCCACCCTTCTTGTATCTAATCCAGTCCAGCCATAGCAAGAATGCACTCCAAGGAGATCTCACACCCTCCCTCAAGCAAAACGTACATATCTTGATGTTTTCTCTGCAGGTGATGACCATGCCAGAATATCTCAAGAAGAGGTTTGGTGGGAATAGACTGCAGGTCTACCTCTCTGTCCTATCCCTCTTCATGTGTGTGGCTTTGAAAATTTCTGTGAGTTAAGTGCTTCCTGAGAGAGTAACTACAGTAGTTTGCATGATGGGATCAGCATGCTAAGGTCAGAGTGTTGCACGTGTAGATTGTTGACAGTATTCACCAGCTCAGGCCTTATGGATGTCTTAAGCTTCCTAACGTCTCTCTACCAAGATTTCATGAAAGAAATGGAGTTTCAGAGATACTCTAGCCACAGAGTAGTAGACATTCAAATCATGAGACCCTCCACACTGTCAGTTGTCCCTCCAAGAGCATTAATATGTAAAAACAGATGTACAGAAAGAACAAAATTTCTATCATTCAAGAAACAGCTATTTAATAGTAAATGAAGATTTGTCTTATCTTCACTCTTTTTCACTATGTGATTATTTTTGTCTTCTCTCACAGAGCCAGTCCAGGTTTATACTTTCACTTATTTTATCAGACATGCGATTCAAAAGGAAAGTGGTTTTAATTGTTATACTGACTTTTCTCAAATTCACCTTCTATCAGACTGCCCCTATAAACCAAGTGAGATAATTAAGTGTTCAGATATTTATTCCTTGGAGAGTAATGAAACAGATAGGAATTTGAAGTTTCAGCAGCATGTGAAGAAAGAGAAAGAGTAATTCATTTATCCTCATGTATCAGTGACTAGTAAAATAATCTCCCCAAGTTTAGAGTCCAACAAGGCACCTCAAACTTCATGAGAGAAAAAGCCTACCTTCACTGTTGCTCTTCAGTGTAACTAAATAATTGTTGCAACTAAACCAGCTACTTAGACACGCCCATGAACCTTCCTAAAGTGAATGAGCAGTGACTGCATCTTATGGTTTGCACTACGCTAACAAAGATTCTGAGCACATGGATTTCACCATATAACTAAGGAGATGAAAATCCGATGTGAAATAGCCTCTTATGGTAATATATACAAATATACCTACAAGCTGAAATGGTTCATGGACAAATTGAAATGTTCTATGCACGTGGAGGAAAGGGTCTGGTACCTGCTAAGTGGAATTGGAAGTGATCACAGAGAGATAATTTAAACAGTTCTCCAGATAGGAAAGTTAGAAGAATCAGGGGAGCTCCTGGAGTCATGAGCTTGTGCTGATATGTTTCACAAGTGGATCAGACTTGCTAATGTCAGTTTTTCTCTGGCTCTGACTTTAATAGTTTTCTGAATCTAAAGAGCATGTACCATTTTCCTACAAATGACTCAAACTTAATAGACACATAAGCTTAAATATTGCATAGTTTCTCTTATATGAGAAACCCTAAGTATAAAGAAATGAGACTGCAAAATGAAAGACAGATAATAAAAAATGGGAAGAGAGAACTTTTTGAAAATGGGAAAGGGACCAAGAGATAAAGGGCAGAGGAGCAGGAGGTAAAAGAATTAAGATGTGTCATGTACATGTACCAGCTCCTCACAATGGATGTAATCATTATGCATCACTAACTTGTACTAAAAGAAATAAAGACAATACACAGTACTCAAGCAGAATGGCAGCAGTTAAAGGGGCCCCTGAGGGACTGGACCTGCTAGAGTAGAGATTCCTGGTTAGGAGAGGAGATGTAAAATAGTGCAAAAAAGCCAAGACCATATGTGTACTACTATGCAGGCTCCGTGGTCAGCTGGAGAAATGCCACAGCACGAACCCATTCTTGTTTGCAAGGTTATGTTTTGAACAGTATTAGTAATGATTAACCTTAGATATGAATGTTTGTGTACTTTTATGTTCTGATAACTGATTCTATAGTAATTACCTATTAAACAGATAATTACAAGAAGTTAAAATGGAAGAATTTTCAAATTCTCTTCCACTCTGGTTGGAAAGAGATCATCTTTTTTAAGATGGATTTTTAACCTTCAATAACATACAATGAAGCTGTAGATGTGATGCCCAGTAACCTCTAAATATTTTAAGGTTTTTTTCTTCAAAACCTTGATATTTGGGGCCGGGGAGATGGCTCAGTGGAATAAGGGCTTCCTTGGCAAGCTCAAGGGCCTGAGTTCAATCCCCGGTTCCACAAAAAAAAAAAAAAAAAAAAAAAAAAACCTTGATATTCTTTTAGAAAACCATAATGCAAATATTAGAATCAGGAAGTTAATATTGACAAAACACTATCATGTCTACAACAGTTATTAAGATATTGATAATTGTTCCAGTAGAGTCAGTATTGCAGAAAGTCCTGGATTTCTGAAACTCCTCTTATTAGAAATACTGCATCATCTTCAGAAATCTAATTAGTGCTAGTAAACTGCACACTTAAAATGTTTATAATGGTTTAAATTTTGTACCATATTATTTCACTGCCATAAAAAGTTATTGATAATATGCAAGCTATTTACATATAACTTTAAAACCATCAGTGATATGTTAATTGTATGATATAATACATACAAAGTCAAGGAATGCTTAGTAAGATAATGTGCTTTTTCACATGTAAATGATTGAGTGGGACAAAAAGAATTAAAATCCTTCGATCATCCCAATGTAAATCAGTATGAATCAAACAGCAATTAATCCAGATGGATGCGGATAAGTATGATTGATATCTTCATAGATGATATTATTTGTAGGAAATAGTGAACAGTAGAACAGTATATACATATATATTTCTTTTAAATTACAATCTTTTCAATCTGCATAGTAATTGTGCTTCTGGAAATTCTCCACTATATAATTATTTTTGCTGGTAACTAATAAGCTATCTGTGGTGAGATATTTTAAATGCTCCAATAACCTGTTACTCTTTGAAGTTTCCCAATGTTTAGCATGCCTAGATGATTCTTATTGGATCCTACATTTACTAGGATAGCTTCCAAATGAATTTTCAATTCTAGGAATCCCCCCATAGTTACTAGGCATCATTCAGCATGCTACTAAAGGCAAAATCTTCCCTTCTCCTCTATCTATGATTGAGGTGAACTTATAAATTCCTATTGTCATTGTTTTGCATAAGATCATTTTTATTAATTATTTTGATGTTCATGTTATATCAAATTGGTCCAGTAGAAGGTCCTCTGCCTGGTTCCTGTGTAAATAATGTGATATGTTTCCATCATTGTGTTGGCTACTTCCTTAAATTCTGGAAAAACAAAATGCTTCATACTCATCTTGTACCAGTCATGTCCCATCTCCAGAATAAACCATTTGGAGGGGGGTGCAGCCTTGACTGTTTTAAAATGGGAAGGGTACCAGAGCTCAGAATCTAGATGCTAAGTGTGTTTATCGTATTACTTTTGGTTTTTGGCTCTTTCAGCAAATAGAATTGGAAAGTATACGAGATAGACAGACAGATAGATAGATGATAAGTAGATATCATGCATCTATATATAATATGGATTCTGTTGCAATTATACACATAATAAAGTTTAGAAATGGAGATCACACTAATGCCTCTAGCTATAATTGATCTCTATAGGATACTTTATTGCCTTCCTAAATTCTATATTCATATGTCCTTTATTATACAACTGAAAACTGTAGCTTCCCAAGGCATTAACATGTATGTTTGTTTAGTCCTATAACACATCCGAAATAGTTTTACAACTGTCTCTTACACACTACTACAAAAATAAACCAAAATATCATAATTGATTTGAAAATTATTCTTTTCTTCCTCCACAAGACTAATGCATATACATTCAAATATTATGTTTCCCATTTTGCTAAACTTTGATTCCATCGTTAGACACTTTTCCTTGATGTAGGGTCGTGTTCTGAAAGAGAATTTTGGAAGTTATTTTTAAGAGTTCATTTGTCCTCCTTTATCTAGCTTCATTCAGAATTTGCCAAGAACCAGTGCAGTGTTACATGCCTATAGTCCCATATACTATTTGAGAGGCTAAGGCAGGAGGATCACTTGAGCCCATGAGTTCAAGGTCAGCCTCAGAGCCACAGTAAAACCTTGCCCCCAAAACAAAACAATAAAAAAATTACCAAAAAACCTTTACATTTACCAATTATTTGTCAGAGCAAAATCTCTTCCAGTTTCAACTGCAGATCTAAAAATAGTCTACTTTTTCTCCTAATAAATATTTATTTAATATTTGATTATGTTTGATTTTAAGGTCCTTCAGAAATATTTTTCTGTTTCCTTTCAGATCTTGATACAATATACATCTCATGGCTTGCTTGTGGGGTTCATGGATATGTTGGTTATTTATCCTGTCTAATGTGCATGGAGTTCACAAACTCTGCAACCACCACCACCATCTACCCAAAATTATATAGTTCTCCATACTTTGAAATGTTCCTTATATGTTTCAATAAGTAAAATCCCATGATAGAAGTATGACAAGATGTTTTAACGGTGTGAGTTTTGGAGTCACACTGAACAAATCCAAATCTTGTGTTCACCACTTACTATCTTGGTGACACTGGACAAATTGCCTGAGGCTAAGTTTCATGAGACTCAAAGACTTTTTAGGGCTGGCCAGATAGTTCAGCAGACTAAAGCTCCTGCTTAGGCAGAGCACAGGGCTTTGATCCCCAGCACCATAAGCCATGCCTGCTCCACCCCAGGGGCATGCTGAGACAGCAATTGAGACTGGACCTGGTGGTGCACCTGTAATCTCAGTGCTTGGGAGGCTGAAAGCAGGAGAAACAGGAGCCTGTTCTATTTAGTGAGACCATGTAGATCCTGCAGACCCTGTACTAAATACATTTTTTTAAGATTTTTTAAAGTAACACCTACCTTACAGAGAGTTTAGGAAAGCAGAAAAGCATGAAGGTGAATTCACTGAAGATTTCAAAGTGGAAATAATTCTTAAGGAGCTTAAGCTTTTCTAGAACAGAGGGAAAAAATTATCTGATCCACCTCTTCATGCAGACCCAATCTTGTATATAATCATATCAAAATAAAAACAAACACATATAATCATAAAAAAACTAATTGATGAACAAGATTATTAGTTTTTGTTCTACCACAACAAAAACGGTTCCCAGGAATGATTTCTCAGATTCTCTAGGCCTTATGGTATAGAAAAGTTTTTCAGCATATTCACCTCAGTTAATAAGTGCCTCAACTGAGCAATAAACTAGCTGCTACAAGAATATAGAGAGAAAGAGAAAATCACTATTTAAAATTTTATGGAAGACCTTATTTTGGGAACATTTACATAGAGCATTCATGCAAGTAGGAATTTATTAGAAAAGTAAGGGGTTGCAGAGTATGGATATTGGAGCAGAGAAACCAGAGGTCTGACATACACATTTCTTCCCCAACCCTAATTATTCCCTTTTTAGGCAGACATATTTGCTGGGGCCATATTTATAAAGCTAGCTTTGGGATTAGACCTTTACCTAGCTATCGTCATCCTCTTGGCTGTCACTGCTGTTTATACCATCACTGGTGAGTCTGCTGCATGTTTTATTTCATTGTGCTTAACCCTGATGATTCCTCTCATATATTTTTCACACATGTACACATATTTCACATATATACACATTTCATATACACATATATTTCACATGTACATATACTTTATGTATATATATATATATATATATATTTTATATATGGCACTGCAGCAAATACAAGTCAATGAGTATTTTTGATATTCAATGAATAAATAAAATGTTATTTCCAATAGAACAAAACTGGTCTTTCTACATGATTCATTGTTTAGCACATGTAACTATGTTACATGAGGAGGACTGAGGAATTATCAAAGGAAATTTTTATGATATTAAAATTTCACCCTTTTGGAAGTGAAGAAAGGAAAAGGGGGGAAATATATGTATATACAAGATAGTGAAGATTGTTATACAACTAGTTTCTCATAGTTCATTAAAAAGGAAGTTTAGTGCTAATGTATAGGCAAGATAGCATTCATTTATCTTCTACTCTGAATAACTATAAGAAAATAATAATACACAATGTCTCAACTCTCTTAACTGTCTTTATAACCTGTTTTGAAACTCAGTTTCATTGTTATGTTTATTTTTTTAAGGGAAAGAACAACTGGGTGGTGGAAAGGAGAAAAGAAGGAAGGGAAATAAATATATGATAGTTAAGATTAATGTACTACTAGTTTTTATTGGTTTATTGAAAGAAACCATTAATGTTTAATTGTTTAATCAGCCTTTCATTTTTATATCTGGTAATCTGAGTAACCACACTGAAAATAACAATTTGTATATAACAATTGTTGTTACTTTCTGTCATCTGGTTTTGAAATTCTGTACCATTTTTATTGTTTTGTGTTGTTTTGTTTTTGTCTTTGTTATTTTGTTTTTTTCTCTTTAAAATAAAAAGTCACCCTCAATAGCCTAACATTCACACAAAGATGGGATTTCATTGCCAGAGACTCAGAATAAGGTGAAGAAAATAGAACCAATACAAGACACAAGAATTAAGGAGATAAACAAGCCAAAACAAGCTTGTGACTCAGCCAGGAGGTTACATACATTTTCTTTTGAGTCTTTTAAATGGCTGAAGTAGATGGAAACCCAGAGGTGAAGTTAAATAGATGTGTACACATGGATAAAATGTCTGTCTCTTTTCTTTCTCTCCACAGGGGGCTTGGCCTCGGTGATCTACACAGACACTCTCCAAACTGGTGTCATGTTGCTCGGCTCTTTTATTCTCCTGGGGTTCGGTAAGTGATGCCAGCACACACAGATCCCTGGGGAATTGTTTCTGTTTGACTTCTCTCTGTTGCTGATGTTCCATTCTGTTTGGTCACGTTTTCCTCTCACTTATATCATTCCTATCATTGAAATGTCTGCCTGGGTACTTTCTTGCTTGAGAAAATAGGAAATAATTTTCTTTCCTGTTAAAATTTATTACACAGTGGCACAACCCAAAGAATGAAGCTTCATGCAACCTAACCTGATAACGAAGTGTCAGTACTGCTCCACTGATTATAACAAATATACACTCTCTAGTACAATGATGATAGAGAGGCAATGCGTGGTGTGTGTTTGAAGGAAGAATACATAGAAATTTCTGTATTTCCTATTCAGTTGTCCTGTGATCTAAAACTCTTCTCTAAGAACATAAATTTTATTGCCTTCTTTATAACGATAGAAGAAAATGCTGCATAGGTAAATGATCTTATTTAACCTTAATATTGCTGTGTTCAGAATGGACAAAACTGAATACATTTGACTGAAAATTTTACAGAAATATTAGTGTATTGGATTAAAAACACAAAATCCTTTCCTTCGTATGGACAGTTCAATTTTTGATAAATATTTTTTAATTTTAAAGAGAATAAAAAATAAAAATGATTAAAGAGTACAGCATTTCAAAACATGATAGGAAATCAACAATAGTTGTTATATTGCATACATAACTACTTCAAAGATATAAGCATGCAAGATTGGTCAAAAAAAAGATTTTTAGAAAACTAAGTATTAATTTTCCTTTTAATAAACCAATAGAACTTAGTAGTGCAATTATCTTACCTATTCCCTTAGAGGTTCTATTTGACCCAGCTATTTCCCTCCTGGATATTTTTACAGAAGAATTGAAAATATCGTATCTCAGTGATATATGGGCACTCGTGTTGATAGCATCATATGAAATTATACAAAGTGGTCCTAGATGCCTAAGTACGTTTCTCTAAGGTCAACTATAATTTTTTTCTACACTTAACTAACCATTCCAGATCCCGGTGGGCACAGTCTCATTATATTCCCTCACTAGATCAAACATGTCACCTCCATTTTTCCCTTAATTTTCCAATTAATTTGCTACACTATTGTTAAAATATAGTGCAGCTCCATGAAACCAGATTCTAAGCAAGCTCAGAACAACTAGGTTCTTGTCTGAGTCAAGAAAAGAGGTCATCTTTCCTCAGAAGAGTTGGAATTTCTGATGGCAAATTCCAGTAAACCCAGTCTATTGTTGGAACAGTTGTGTGACATCAATATCAGTCTATTGGCTACAAGTTTTATTTTTATCATAAGATTAATCAAAATTTTAAAAAGCATCATAAAAAAGTTAAAGCGGTTACCCTTGGATACCTTGTAAAATTTAATCTAGTAGCATGCCAGTGCCAGTGAAGGTACCAGAAAGACATGGACCATGACAGCCAGTACTGGGGATTTGAACAGGCTCCAGGGAGGTGCTTGAGAGCCACCACCACAAAGAAGTGATCATAAACGTCAGATGTCTGATACTTCTGTGAGATGTTTCCTTTTACCTGATTCTTTTTTAGCATTTGTTGAAGTTGGAGGCTATGAGAGCTTTGCAGAGAAGTACATGAATGCCATCCCATCCGTAATTGAGGGGGACAATCTGACAGTCAACCCCGGGTGCTACACTCCTCAGGCAGACTCCTTCCACCTCTTCCAAGATGCTGCTACGGGAGCTATTCCATGGCCAGGAATGGTATTTGGAATACCCATTACAGCTCTGTGGTACTGGTGCACAGATCAGGTGAGGAGGAGGGAAGGGAGGGAAGGAAGGAGAATTTATGTTGTTTTACTGATAGACCAGGAAAGCATCTAGTTTCTAGTTTCTACACAAACATCATTTAAAGATCCAAACAGTTCTCTGTGGTGCTCATGAAAAATATATGCCTACTGCCCCACTCTCTGTGCAATTTCCTGCTCATCAGAGTCAAATACTTTCAGCCCTTTCAAGCACTTTGGGTTTCTTCTATTCTCTGAATTCACACACATACTCAAAATGTGATCTAGAAACTGTCAAATGAACCTTAATATATAAACACTATCAGGTCAAAATTTGCCTGTGAGCTTGACGCCAGGGTCATACAAATAACTCGTTGTCCTAATCCTTTTTGTTTTTCCAAATTTAAGATTTCTTATGGTTCCCATGATGAGAGATGAGAGTTCAGCTTTTTCAATTTCCAGTCCCCAATCTCACACTTGAACACTTCCTGTACCTCCAGCTCGATGCAATTGCCATTTTGAGGGGAACAGCATTTGCTACCATCTTCATGCCTACATGAATGCAAGTCATAGATGAGTGCCATGACATTTATGACTGATCTTTCTTTAACTTCCAATTTTTGTATGAAATTAATAATTCTTAATTTTAATATTGTTTGGTAATTATTTCTCACTAAGTTCCAAAACTGAAAATTTCCAAAATCTCTCAGTACTTACAAACACATCATACATTTTTTTTTTGCTTATTTTTTATTTTTGTTTTCTTTAAAGGGAATTCAAAATAGTAAGAGGAAAGAAAAACAGAACCGATACAGAAATTCACCAAATAAAACTCTCATCCAAGACTCATTCTGTTTTGACATTCTTTTTGCCTCACTCTGAAGTTACAGATCTTTTTTCCCCCAATATCTGCAGTCATTTTATTTCTTTGTTAAAGCAATTAAATCTTCCAGTAACTTTCTGATATATATCATAGGAGATAAATTTATTATGAATCTGCATGTTTGAAAATGTCCTTGTTTCTATCTTTCCTTAATTGTTGTCTTGGCTGTTTATATTTTTCTTGGAATTTATTTTCACAAAGTCATAGACTCATTGTCTTCTATATTACCATTAATGTTGAGAAATCCAATATTATTATTAATCCCATAAATTCTACTCCTTTTTCTCTCTGACAACTTATATTGTCTTTGTCTTTGGACAAAGAAATTTCACCACAATGTACTATTGTATGGATATGATTTTGTTCATTATAATGGGCAATTATGAGCCTATTCAATCTACAAAATTGATGCTTTGAGTAATTGGGGGCATTTTTTCTTTAATTGTTTCCATTTGTTTTACTGTAGGAACCTTTTATTTTAGGTGTTGGTTTTCCACAACTGATTCTTCTTTCATTATCTTTTCTTCCCATATTTCATTTCTTTGTCTCTTTTCTCTACTTTCTAATAGACTTCCTGAACTTTCTCTTACAGTTTTTGCCTTTGTGTTTACATTTTCCTGTTTTGTTTTATGCATATTCCTTTTCATATCATCTAGTGTAGTTCTCTCCTTTGTGTCATTTGAATATTTCTTCTACCTAAATAATTTACATCAACTTCAAGTTAATAATTTCACATTTTTAGTCAAACTGAAATCACTGGACACATTTTTTTTCTGTAGATGACAAACTAGTTTTCTCAACAAATCTACCACAGAATGCATCATTTCACCATTATGAAACTCCATAATGGTGTTTATGATAATATTTATTATCTATTATTTATATTTTATTTTTGACTCCTGACTTGACGCCCATCCTCATAGTCACTGTTAGACATGATATATAACTTTGCCTAATGACTAGACTCCCTCCTTCACCTGTGAATTGTGTTATCCTTTCAAATGTCTGCTTATATCTCTCTGCCTAAAATGTCTGCTTCTCTATTATTGAATGATATGAATAGTATTCTTAATAGATTGTTTTTCCAAAGACAACTAAACAAAATATACCCCTATTTTCTGAGAATCTTTGAGAATAAAAATATCAAGTTATAGCTATGTATTAGAAATCCTACTTTGGGGCTGGCAAGACAGCTCAGTGGACTAAAGCACCTGCTTAGGCAGGTGCAAGGGCCAGGTTCAATCCCTGACAGCCGTGCTGGTCCCTCCCTTGGAGTGTACTGAGACTGCGACTGAGACTGGATGTGGTGGCATGCATCTGTAATTCCAGAGCTTGGGAGGCTGAAAACAGAAGGATCATTATGAGTCTGATCTGTGTAGTGAGACCTGTAGACCCTATACTAAATACACATAGAAAGAAATCCTACTTTGCTAGAAAATCCTTATTAAAAGATTTCAAAATTTAAATGTGAATTATAAATTTATATACATATATGTATGTATTTCTGTTCCCCAAGGCTATCACATTTTATTCATAAATAAAATTCTCAGAACATTTTGTTTTTGTTTATATATATACATATATTAATTTTATTGAGAAAGAACTAGCATTGAGACAGTTTCAAAACAGGTTAGCAGGACAGTTACAATAATTAATGCATTGCATATTGTCTTCATAGTAGTTGTTCATAGTACAAGATGCAAGCATGATATCTTGTATAAACACTATTAGTACAAATCTTTTCATTGTCTCAGAACATTTTGAAGAAATGCAGATTAATGTTTCAGAGATCTATCTATTACGATGATCACTTGACTGTGGTGTTTTCAAAGCAATTGTTCTAAAAATTAGAGGAAAAAAAAGGGCTGCAAGGACAGCCAACATTTTTACCCTAGACTTTCAAAGTCAGTGAGGACTCAGGACATAAGATAGCCTGTACTGTAACATCCTATAACTCACTGATGTCCCAAATTTTCTGATCAAGGAGATTATGGGACCACAGAGGAAAGTGATCAACGATGTAGAGTGTGCCTAAGGAGAGTCACATGGAGAGAAAACACTCTCTCAGGCTTTCACAGAGAGAAAATTGGTCAAGCAATGGTCGTGACTCATCCATGTGGCTGACGCTGACAAAGGATCTACAAACTGTGGTACAGAGTTTCAGGGTAAATCATGAGGGGATTTGACTGACTTTGGCAGATACAAAAGTTACATTTCTTGTTGTATAGGTCTTGGTCTTAACCATCCAGAAGAAAAGTATAAAAATGAGGTATGAAATGTAAAGCCATATTAATATACTGAGCTGTAAAAGGCTCAAGTCAAACAACTTCTGACATTGCCAGTCCTATGGACAACCCACTGCTATTATAGACTATTGGAATATATTGGATTATTTTACTGAATTCACACACCTACAATATTTAAATGGCAATGGAATACCCACATCTGACAAAACTAAATGAAAAAAGGGGATACAAATGAAAGACCATTTTGTATCTGTATATACAAAATAGTTAGGATAGATATACAGCCACTTTCTCTTAATTCAATGAGAAGAAAGATTTGTATGAATACTGTTTGGACAGGATATCATGTCTGCATCTTGTACTATGAATAACCACTATGAAGACGACAATATGCACTGTAGTAATTATTGAAACTGTTCTACTAATCAGTTTTGAAACTATCTCATTGCTATTTATTTCTCAATAAAATTAATTTTTAAAAAACAATATCTGATTATCCAAAGAGAAATTATGACAGGTTTCTACCTGGAGAAGCATGGCTTCATTACTGCATTGCCAAATAAGAGCTGTAAACAAATTTTAATTGTAACTATACGTACTGACTTCAGTGTACTGAGAGTCCTACACACATTATCAAATATTGAGGATCCCCTGTAAGAGATAACTATTGTAAAGATGAGAAACTTTAAATCTCACAGAATTCAAATATTGTGCAAAGGAAGTAGTCATTAAAATCCTGATATTATTCCAAAGCACATTGTTTCCCATTGACCAAGACATTATTTCTTATTGTATCATTAATCCTGATACTATGTTCTGGTTGTGTCACTAATATGTTATATTTTTCCACCAGGTTATTGTACAACGTTGCTTATCTGGAAAGGACATGTCCCATGTGAAGGCATCCTGCATTATGTGTGGATACTTAAAACTGCTGCCCTTGTTCCTCATGGTGATGCCAGGAATGATTAGCCGTATTCTGTATACAGGCAAGCTGTATATCTTCTTTTTCTATGCATCAATTCTGAAAAGCATTTTTTAAAGATACAGTAAAACTTTGATAAACTTGAAAACCCATTCTTGATGGAAGTAAAAGCAGAATTCTAGGTTGAGGGAACAACTTATGTAGTGACAAACGCAGGAAAATTTGGCATATTTAACACTGTTTTCTTATCCCTTTCATGCAGTCTGCCCATTTTCTTGTAGGCCTTTGAGAATATTTTCATGAGTGACTTTAATTTTAGGAAGTCTAAAGTACATGACAGAATTTATCAAATGTGAATTGTGGTTGAGAGTGGTGATTTTTTGGCTAAGAAAGTGTTTGAGATACATTGATTTCTAGAGTTTTGATATGTGTTGTATCTAGGTGTCCCCCCCCCCAAAGCCTCATGCAGCCACTGGGATGGGCTTCTAGACTTTGTGATTAATTCATGATTCTGTACTGGGATGATGGCTATGAGTGCTGCTGGGATTATAGGTGTGTTTCTGGGATTATGGATGTGAGTGTTATGTCAAACCTAGGACTAATAGCCTGAATGCAAAGTAAAGGAGACAGACTTGCTCTCTGCTGCCATTGTTACCGCTACTCTTTGCATTTGCTCTTGCTGTTTTGCCATTTTCTACCTCCATGAACTGCTGCTCTCTGTCATGTGCTGCTCTTCCATGAAGCCAGCTGAGTGTGGACTAAAACCCCCACTAACTGTGAGCTAAATAAACATTTCCTTCCTTAATATTGAGTGTTGGGTATTTTGTCCCACAAATGAGAGAAAAGTAACCAAGATAGGTTTAATGAAACAGCTGAAGAACTGTGTCATTTTTCACTGCTTGGAGATTAGATTTTTTGAGAGTAAGTGTTAGTGTTGAAATCTTCCTTAAAACCAAATTTCTTTGTTATGAAAAGTGAAGCAATTACGTATTTTTTAGCTAATCAAATTTATTTTTATTGAAGCAATCCATCAGGTAATGCTAAATCCACACTCTGTTTTCTCAATTGGATGACAGCTTATTTCATTAAAATCTTGTTACTATGAATTTCAAAGTCAATGTCCTCAACCCATATTGCAGCACTGCAGTGTTATCTATAACAGTAAGGAGTGCATAAATATCCATTAAATAGAAAAAGGTTAAAAAGTTATTCTATTATCTTTATGGGAGAAAATGCATAAGAAACAGAACTTGAAGAAATGCTGGGGTGATTATGTTGAATGTCAGTAGGAGACTATAAAATAATATCTTCATGATTAGCCTAGCTGTGCAAAACAAGACATTACTCTGTTTAAAACAATCAGAAAAAAATTATTTAAAAGAAGCTAATGCTAAACTTTATATGTGACAATATTTTCTTTTATAAAATAGAAACAGTTTAAACCTCTTTTTACAAGAATTTTTTACTATAACTGAATAATTTTGTGTAGTGTTTAGATTTGTGGCACAATTAGTACCCAATAACTATCGCTTCCCTTTTTTCAGGTATCATTTGGTGTTAAAAACTTAATTACATAATAAAGGACAACACTCCTTAAATTAGAATGTAGGAAATTAGATAAATAAGTAAATGAAGCTAATGTGCTAAGGTACTATTATTCTGGATGATTTTCAGTTTTCATTGTCTCTTGTCATAACATAGTTCAAGAAAAAAAGAAAAGGAAAATTAGCAAAAGATACTCTGCTACTGCCCCGGTTTGTTCCTTATGGGGCAATCATACCACTGACTATCAAAAGTGATACTCCTTTACACACTGTTGTGAAAAGTAGTAGGTTGACTGTGACTAGATATGGGGCCTAAACTTTTGTTGTGGTTGTTGTTGCTGCTGCTGTTTCTATTGTTGATGATGATGTTGCTTCTGGTGTTTTAATCTGAAACTACATGCTTCAGAATTTATGCTTTAGCCATATTTTGGGAGGATATGATTAGCTTTCTCTGTTTGCTTTAAAGCTGTAGTTGGGTTGTATCCCAAGGAAGAGCCCTGCTGCGTGGTTCAATGCACGGATAGCTATGGACATGTGAAATTTAGGAGATTATGCTCTGGGTAAAGAGGAAGTAGCACTGTGGTATCAAAGTCAAAGCTTAATTTTCAATTTCCAAGTAAATGTCTTTCCTCCTACCCATGATCTTACATCTTATCTCTTTTTGCAATGGTTATGGGTTGTAATTGGTTGATCCCTTCTCACTGAAGTCTGATTCATATATCTCCTCAGATATGGTGGCCTGTGTGATACCTTCTGAGTGTGTAAAACACTGTGGTATTGATATTGGCTGCACTAACTATGCCTACCCAACAATGGTACTTGAACTGATGCCTGCTGGTAAGTGAATATTTATGCTTTTTAACCTCAGATACTTTGTCTATGTAGGTGGATCATCAAGAAGATCATGGTATAATCATTAGTGAGTCTTACTTTCATTAATTCAATCCTATCCATAGACATTTCTTGAGCACCTCCCACAAGCTACTAGCTATATAATGGACCTGGATGTTCCAGAGTGAAACAAATAGTGTTTCTGTCAGAGTATTCATACATTTCCAGGGTCAAGACTATCTTCTAAGTCAATCAAGAACACTCAAATGGCCTGTTTGTGAATAAAAATATTGTATGGCCAAAACATACACTCAAAGGTCTAGAGGTAACTCTCACATTTTTTATAGGCTATGTCTATTAAAATAATAGATTTCACTTGATTTAATTTACACCTATTTATATAATGTGCCAGTCACTGCTTGAGTGGCTACAAAACATCAGTGAAGCAAACAAAAAATCTTCTGACACTTGAAACTCACACTTTAGTTTCATAAGATGAAAAATAAACCACACATGAAATAATTGAATGATTAGGATGACAGAAGATGATCATTGCTATCATAAACTGAAACCAGACAAGCCGTTGGATGGAGCTAAGCAGGTACCACTTGGAGTTATCCAGGTGGAAACATCAGCTAATACTTTTATGTCCCTTTCTCCTCTCTGACACACATGAACATTTTTTAAATGAATGAAACACAATCCATAAACAAGAGTTTATCTACAAAGAAAACATATGACTGTTTTCCATCTTCTAAAACTGGGTTCTATCAGATATCCTCTAAATTTATATTTGAGATTAAAATTCTGTATTACTGTCAGATCATGAAGAAAAGATCCATGATTTTCTGGTTGATAGGCACACCAATTAACAAATGTTCCAGATGACAATTTTATTTCTAACAAGCTTTCTAATTTAGCCCAGTTCTCATATGTCATGATATCTACCCACTAACCAGTGCTTGCACCCTCTCCTGGCTCCAGGACTTCGAGGCTTGATGCTGTCAGTCATGTTAGCCTCTCTTATGAGCTCCCTGACATCCATCTTCAACAGTGCTAGCACTCTCTTCACCATAGACCTCTACACCAAAATGCGGAAGCAGGCATCAGAGAAAGAACTCCTGATAGCTGGACGGTGAGGGAATCTCTATTTCTACCTAGAGTTCCAGTGGCAAAAGGTAGGTCTGGAAGCAAAGTAGACCTGCCATACATTTGGCATTATTGAAAGTAACCATAGAATTCTTCCTTTCCATATACAAAAGTAAGGCCATGCTTTCAAAGGAATTGGTTTATTTTTTAGATCTTCAAAAGCCTCTGGTTGTTTCTTATTTAGAACTTTCCTTACACAATCCCCTCCAATGACATCTTCCTGAATTATACAATTCAGCCTACACTGATAGATTGAAGTATAGTCTCTAGACATTTCTGTGTATATTATATAAAGGATATAAAAGATCATCATCCACATACTAATGCAGATGAGTTTATCAAATGTATTCATTAAGAATTAGGTGATGGGCTGGAGAGATGGCTCAGTGGTCTAAAGCACCTACTTAGAACAAGCTTGGCAAGGCATCAGGGACCGCGGTTCAATCCCCCAGCACGACATGCCAGCCAGCCCCGCCCCCTGGTGGGCTGAGCTGGCCACACACACACACCACTCTCACTCTCTCTCTCTCTCTCTCTCTCTCTCTCTCTCTCTCTCAAATAAATAAAAATAAAAAAAAAGAAAGAATTAGGTGATGTTACGGAGGGATAGACACAAGAAAAGGACTAAATTAAGAGGTTGTTTAGAGAGTTGTGTCAACACTGGGAACCCTGAGGAACTTGAAGGAAGTTAAAATGAATAAAATAAGCAGAGAGAATAGATTTTAAAATAATCCCTTTTTCCTTTTTATAATTTTCAAGTAGACCCTAGATTGTACTAGCATTTTATAAGATGATTTAAAATTTAAGGTACAAGGCCAGTGAGATAGCTCAGCAGACTAAAGTGCCTGCTTAGGCAAGTTTAGGCAAGCATTTAATACCTGCCACCACATGACATGCCAGCCCAGCCCCCATGGTGGCCTGAACCAGCCAGAGTCCAGGTGTAGTGGTGCATGCCTGTAATCCCAATGCTAGGGAGGCTGAAAACACTATGAGAGAATCACTATGTGAAAACACTAAGGAGGATCACTATGAGTCTCAGCTGTATAGTGAGACCCTGTAACAACCAAATACATTTTAAAAATAACAAATAAATAAATAAATAAATAAAATTTGAAGTACAACACATATACAAAAGACCTGTAACACAAATGTGCAGCTCAGTGATACATCAAAAGATGAGCACACATTTAACCATTGATCACATCAATGAATGGAAATTACCAGCATCCAGAACCTCCTTTTGATCCCCAAAGCCAAGCAATGACCTCTGAGGCTTTTTGTCTAGTCTTCCACTTTCAAACTATTATAAATAGAATAATCCCATGTGTATTCCTTCACATGAGATTGTGTATTGGTGTGCACCCACAAGTGTGTCACTGCCAAATGAACCCAAAACCTTTACATGAAGCTACATACCTATCCCTTTTTATTATTTGAGACAGGGTCTCACTAAGTTGCTAAACTTTCAAGGCTAGTTTCCCACCTCCAACCCTACTGCCTCAACCTCCCAGAGTATTGGGATTACAGGCATGCACCACTATGCCCAGCCTGCCATATGATTTGCTTTGCTTGTGTGATTTTCATGACATGCCATGTTGCTAAGTATAACTATAGTTTGTTCCATTTTAATGAGTGTACAATTAATTTCATGGGTGAAACTATTATGACTAATTGTAAATAAGTACTTTGCTGTTATTATATTGCCATGTAATCATTAAGCATAGCATAGATGTCAGGCAAGGACCTTGATTTTGTTTTGAAAACCAATAAATGATATAAGAATAAATTCAAAAACTAAAATGCAGTGAGAGGCTTTCCCTACTTTTGTTTAACATTTAAATCATTTTGTTTTCTTACCAGGCTATTTGTTATTGTATTAATTGTCCTCAGCATACTGTGGGTCCCCATAGTAGAGGTATCTCAAGGTGGACAACTGATTCACTACACAGAAGCCATTTCCAGCTACCTTGGACCTCCAATTGCGGCAGTCTTCCTGCTTGCCATTTTCTGTAAACGAGTAAATGAACAAGTAAGTGAAACCTAGGAGACATTTCCCATGATAGATTGAAAGAAAAAAAATATTTACTGCTTCAGTGATCTGCTAGGAAGGGGAGAAACTGCACCCTTCCCCACCCCACCATCATGGGAGCAAAGTTCAGCCCCAGGGAACCCTAAAAGTTTTGAAAATCTCAAAGCAAAGGAGCCAAAGGCAATCTCAGACATCCACACTACACTTAACAAATCCAGGAGATATTGACATAGAAGAACTTGGAAATCACATACCATAAATACTTGAAGTGATAGCAACTAAAGTAAAGAAACAGCTCCATCAGGCTATAGAAGAAATCAGATCATAAATAATCTCTCAGGTAAAAAAAAAAAAGCAGTGACAATCATAATGAAATAAAATGTTTAGCATAGATTAAAAAGAGAAAAATGATGAAAAACTGATGAACAATATAGGAAAGAAAGACAATGCATGAAACAGAATCAAAGAGATATACAGGAAGTTGAAAATTCCATTGGAAACTGGAAAAATGCTTGAATGAAATTGAAGATACTCTTTCAGACCTTGAAAATGGTAGTGTAGTTAGTGATCATGAAAGGAAAGACCTGTTAAAAATATCAAAAAACCAGGAAATAACAATTCAACAGCATCAAGATGATGCAAACCATGTAATCCTGATAGGTGTCAACATAAAAATAAAATTAAACAGAATGACATAAAAAGACTATTTGAAGAATTAATACCAGAAAATTTCCCAAACATGGGAAAAGAATCTGAAATAAATATAAGATAGGCATATAGAACTCCAGTTAACCATAACCAAAACAAACAATGATCAACATCCCAGAAATTCAGCAAAAGAATCTAATATTAAAAGCTGTTAGAGAAAAGAAACAGATCACCTATGAGGCAGACCAATCAGAATCATGGCAGATTTCTCAACACAAAGCATTAAGTCAAAAAGAGCATGGAATAAAGTATTTCAGGTCCTGAAAGAAAACAACTTTCAACCCACAGTGAGGTATCCTGAAAAACTGACTTTAAAATTAATGGAGAAATAAGACTGGGTGTTGTGGTGCATGCCTGTAATACCAGCGCTTGGGAGGCTGAAAATAGGAGAATCACTATGAATCCATTCTACATAGTGAGAATCTATAGACTGTGTCCTAAATACAGAAAAGAAAAAAAATAATAATAATGGAGAAATAAGGTACTTCCATAACAAAGGACAACTGAAGGAATTAATAATGACCAAACCAACACACATAGAGTACTGAAAGGCATTCTAGAAAAAGACAAAAATGACTACCTTCCAAGAACAACATTAGAAAGGAATCACCAAACAAGGCAAGCAATTAAAATGAGAAAAAAATTAGGGAACCAACAGCAGGAAACTAATATGACAAAGATAAACCAATATTTATCAAAAATAATCATTGATATAAATGGCCTCAATTCACCAATCAAAAGAAACAGACTGCCAGGATGGATCAAGAAATAAAATCCAACAATATCCTGCATACAAGAAGCACATTTAACACAAAAGGAAATTCATAGAGTGAAAGTTAGAGTATGAAAAAAAATACTCCATGCAATATGAACCCAGAAAAAAAGCAGGGATAGCTATTTTGTTTGCAGGCAATGAGAACTTGACACCAATAATATTGAAAAGAGATAAAGAAGGTCAATATATATTTGTTAGGGGAAAACTGCAAGAGGAAGAGGTAACAATCATAAATATATTTGCATAAAATACAGGAGCACCAAACTATATGAGACATTTTAATAGACATGAAAAATCAAATAAGCAATTACACAGTTGTAACTGGGGACCTTAACTTCCTATTCTCACAGAGAGATAGATCAACTAGATAAAAAAATCAGCAAAGAAAAAACAGAACTAAACCAAACTTACGAACATATGGACTTAGCAGACCTATACAGGGGGTTCCACCCAACATCAGAAAACATGTTTTCCTCCACTGCACTTGAGACATTGTCTAAAATAGGCCATAGAACATGCTTATGTAAATACAAAGGAACTCAAATTATCTAATGAATATTATCAAGCTATAGAAAAATAAAATTGAAAATTATTTACAAAAGAAATTACAAATACTCCATAAACACATGTAAATTAAATAACACCCTCCTAAACAACCAATGGGTCACAAATGAAATTAAAGAAGAAATTAAAAATATTTACAATCAAATGGAAATGCAGAAACAACTTATTGGGTATCTCTGGGGTGCAATGAAACAGTTCTCAAAATAAAATTTAGAGCAGTGAATTCTTACATCAAGAAGGCACAATCAGCACCTCAAGTTTCTAGAAAAAGAAGAGCAGGTTAAGCCAAAATTCTGTAGAAGAGAGGAAATCATAAGATCAGAGTAGAAATTGATGCAATGGGATAAAGAAAACATTACAAATAATGAATTGAAGAGTTGGTTCATTGAAATGATACATACATTTGATAAAACTCTAGCCAACATTATTTTAAAAAGAAAAGAAAAAACTCAAATTCATGCAATAAGGAATAGAAAGTGTATCTGTGTATTCAAAATAGTTAGGATAGATATATAGTTACATTCTCTTAATGAATAGAGGGATTTGTTATAATGGTGTTTGTAAATAGGATATCATGTCCGCATCTTGTACAGCAATTAACCACTAGGAAGAATGTACTCAATGTGTTAATTATTGAAACTGTCCTAACGATTTGATTTAAAACTGTCTCATTGCTTTTTGTTTCTCAATAAAATTATGGGGAAAAAAGTAATAGAAAGTGTGAAATAACTACAGGTACTACAGCAATTCTAAAGATCATCACTAACTACTTCAAAAAACTTTACTCACAGAGGATGGAAAATGAAAAATAAATGGACATATTTTTACATGAATTACCAAAGCTGAATCAAGAACATATAATAATCCTGAATAACTCCATGTTAATCAACAAAATTGAAAATATAATACAAAACAACAAAGACAAGCAAAAATCTTGATGGATTCATGGACACATTCTACAAGAAATTTAGGGTGTATTTAATGCCAACTAGTCTAAAACTCTTTAGTAAAATACAAAGAGAAGTAATTCCACCTAGCCCACTTCTGGAAGCAAGTTTTACACTAACACCAAAACCTGAGAAATAATCAAGCAAAAAATAGAACTATAGGACTATCTCTCTAATGAATATAAATACAAAAATTCTCAATAAAACACTAGCAAACCGAATGCAGAGATGTTCAACATTATAAAACATGAACACATGGGAATCATCCCAGAAACGCAGTAATAGTTCAACAAATGCAAATCAATAAATGTAATACACCATATGAAAGGAGCAAAATGCATTCTCAGCCCATGAGCCCACCCAGAAAAAATGCAAGAGACACTAGCATAGAAGAAATTAGAACTCACACAAATGAAATCTCTGAAATAATAGCATCTGAAGTAAAGAAACAACAGCAGAAGGGTATACAGGAAATCAGATCAGAAATAATCTCCCAAGTAAAAATAGAAATGATAACTACAATGAAAGAATTGCTAAATATTTCTGAAGAAGACACTGATTAAAAAATACAGGAGAATGAATGATGAAACCTCGAATGAGCAACGTAGAAAAGAAATAGAATGCATGAAGCAGATTCAAAGAGATATTAAAGAGATTAAAACCTCAATTAAAAATTGCCAAAACAGTCTGAATGAATGTAAACATTCACATTCAGACCTTGAAGACACTGTTGCAGCTAGGGGAAAGATAAGGAAAGATCTATTAAAAACAACTAGGAACCAGACAATCATAATAAAACAGCAGCAAAATGATGCAAGATGAACAACATAAGATTAATAGGCATCAATTTAGAAGGAGACAACACAAATGATATAAAAAGAATATGGGTAGAAGTAATAGCAGAAAACTTCTCAAATATTGAGAAATAATCTGACATTCAGGTTACCAAGGTATATAGAACTCCAAATAACATCAACCCAACTAATACCACACCCAGACATATAAAGATCAAAATCCCAGAAGCTCAGCACAAGAACAGCATACTAAAAGCCACTAGAGAAAAGAAACAGATCACATTTAAAGGAAAATCCATCAGAATAATGGCAGATTTCTCCTCACAAACCATCAAGTCAAGAAGAGCATGGAGTGAAGTACTTCATGACATACAAGAAAACAAATTCCAGTTCATACTGATATACCCTGCAAAACTCTTTCAAGTTTAATGAAAAAGTGAAATACTTACATGACAAAGAACAACTAAAGAAATTCATGATGACAAAGCCAACCCTACACAGAGTACTAAAAGATAGTCTAGAAAGGGATCAAAGTGACCATAACTCCAAGAATGAGGATGAAAAGAACCCACCAAATAAGACAAACAATTAAATAATGGAGAAAAGTAGGTAGTTATGAGCAGGAAAATAACATGTCAAGCCTAAATCAATACATATATTACAAACATCAATGTAAATGAACTCAATTCATCAATTAAAAGAAATAGACTGACAGATTAGATTAAGAAACAAAATCAAACAACATGATGTATACAAAATACACATTTAACTTATTAAGAAATTCACAAGGAAAAAGTCAAAGGATAGAAAAACAACAAAACATGACCCAGGACATCACAAAAAAGCAGAGGTAGCAATCCTGTTCACAAACAATCTGAACTTCAAACTAAGAATTGTCAAAAGAAATAAAGGCCACTACATGCTGGCTAAGGGAAAAATACAAGAGAAAGAGATAACAGTCATAATTATGTGTGCACCAAATGCAAGAGCTATATAAGACAAATTTTAGTGGACATGAAAAATCCACTTACAATAATATAATCTAAATAGGGGGTGTAGGGACCAGGGAAATGGCTCAGTGGAATAAACGCTTCCCTGGCAAGTGCAAGGGCCTGAGTTCAATCCCTGGTTCTGCAAATAAAGAAAAAAAGCTGGTTCTTTAAATATTAAATAAAATTGATAAACCCCTAGCTAACCTTATCAAAAAGAGAAAGAAACCTCAAATTCAAGCAATAAGAAATAAAAAGCGTGTAACCAGCACATACCAAGTGGAAATTCAGAAGATCATCAATAGCTATTTTAAAAATCTTTACTCTCACAGAATCAAAGGCACAGAAGAAATGGACAGATTCCTAGAAAGGTACAAATTATCAAAACAGAATCAAGAACATACAAAAACTCTGAATAGCACAATATCAGCTATTGAAATTGAGTGTAATGAAAAAAACTTATGACAAAGAAAATCTCAGGTCCAGATGGATTCACAGATGAATTCTACAAGAAATTTACAGAAGATACAATGTCAATACTCCTCAAATCTTCAGTGAATTTGTAAAGGAAGAAATGCTCCCAAAATCTTTCCTGGAGTCAAGCATTATACTAATACCAAAACCAGAAAAAGATTCACTCAAAAAAAGAGAGCTACAGGCCACTCTCCCTCATGAACATAGATGCAGAAATCCTCAGTAAAATCATTGTAAATGGAATACAGCAAATCATCAAGATTATATGCCATGACAAGGGATTCATCCCTGGAATACAAAAATGGTTCAACATATCTATAAATGCAATACACTTTATCAATAGAGCCAAAACAAAATATCACATGATTATCTCAATTGATACAGAAAATGCTTTTGACAAAGTTCAAAACACATTCGTGATGGAAGTCCTACAGAAAATTGGAATAGATGACCTCTTCCTCAATCTGATAAAAACCATCCATGACAATCCAGCAGTCAACATAATTCTAAATGAGGATGGCTGGCCAAATAGCTCAGCAGATTAAAGCAACTGTAAGCAGGCACAGAGGTTAGGGGTTCAATCCCCGAGCCTGCTGTGCCAGTCCTGCCCCTGGGGCATGCTGAGACAGCAACTGAGACTGGGCATGGTAATGCTCACCTCTAATCCCAGCAATTGGAAGGCTGTAAACAGGAGAATCACTAGGAGTCTGATATAGTAGTGAGAATCTGAAAACCCTGTAGATCCTGCCCAAAAAAACAAAAAAAAAGAAATTATAATTCTAAATGAGGAAAAAATGAAACCTTTTCCTCTCTATCACCACTCCTATTCAATATGATTCTGGAATCATTAGCTAGAGCCATTAGACAAGAGAGGGGGGAAAAAAGGAATAAGAATATGTAAAGAAGAAGTTAAACTACCATTGTTTGTAGATGACATGATATTGTAATTGGAAAAACCAAAAAATCTCCCAAAAGCTCCTAGAACTAATAAATGAATTTAGTAACATAGCAGGTTACAAAGTCAATACCAAAAATCAATAGCATTCCTCTACACAGATAACAAACATGCTAAGAGAGAAATTGAAGAAACAATACCCTTCACAATAGCACCAAAAAATGAAATACTTAGGTATTAATCTACCTAAGCAAGTAAAACATCTATACAATGAAAATTACCGTACTCTGAAAAAAAAGATATCAGAGAGGATTTCAGAAAACAGAAAGATATTCTCTGTTCCTGGATAGGAAGAACCAAAATTGTAAAAATGGCCATATTCCCAATATTGTTACACAGATTTAATGCACTCCCTATCAAAATTCCAACAACATACATCACAAATGTAGAGAAATCATCTCTAAAATTTATTTGGAACCAGAAAAGACCTAGAATAGTGAAGGCAGTGTGGAGCAACAGGGGAAGGCAGGAGTCATTACAATACCTGACTTGAAATTATACTGCAAAGCTACTATGATAAAATCAGCATGGTACTGGCAAAAAGTAGACTTGAGGATCAGTGGAATAGATTACAAGATGCAGATACAAGTATAAACACACTCAGCCATCTTATCTTGGACAGAGCAGCCAAATATGCTTACTAGAAGAAAGACAGCCTCTTTAACAAATGGTACTGGAAAAACTGGTTCTCCAAATGCTGAAAACTAAAACTAGACCCAGGTCTATTGCCATGCACTAAACGAAAGTCAAAATGGATTAAAGATCTAAACATTAAAACAAAAACACTAATCTCCTGGAAGAGAAAGTAGGTAGAAATTTTGAAGTTATAGGGTAGGCAAATATTTCATAAAATATCAAAGTACATGGGAAATATTTAAAGAATCAAAAATTGGGACCTCCTCTTATGGAGAAGTTTCTGCACATCAAAAAAATCACCAACAGAGAGAAAAGACAACCCACAAATTTGGAAGGAAAAATAAGTCTGGACTAATAATCACTCAAAGGTCTTCTATCTGGAATATATAAAGAATTTTTAAAAAATTTAAGACCCAATCCAAAAATGGGCATCTGAGGTGAATACACACTTCTCAGAGAAAGAAACACAAGAGACAAATAGATACCTGAAAATATGCTCCACATCACTGGCCATTTGAGAAATGCAAACTAAAACAATGTTGAGATATCATCTCACCCTAGAAAGAATGGCTATCATAATGAAATCAACTAATAACAAGTGCTGGAGAGGCTGTGGGGAAAAAGGAACCCCTCTGCACTGCTGATGGGAATGTAGGCTGGTCACCACTAAGGAAATCAGTGTGGAGAATCCTCAAAAAACTAGTACTAGAAATCCCATTTAATCCAGCTATTCCCCTTCTGGGTATTTTTCCACAAGAACTGATAACATCACACCAAAGCAATATATGTGCACCCATGTTTATAGAAGCACAATTCGTCATAGCCATATCTTGGAAACAATCAAAATGTCCACTACCTAAGGAAAAAGATGTGGTATTTTTATACAGTGGAGTATTACTCAGCTACAAAGAAAGACAAACTTGAAGCCTTGATAGGTAAGTGGATGCAACTAGAAACTATACTCATAAGTGAAATAAATATAAATGTATAAATATAATAGTCATGTATATTTATAAATATAAATGTATAAATATCATAGTCTCCTTATGTGTAAGAACCTGAAAGAAGAAATAAAACCTGAAACATATAACAGATACAGTGAAATGGAAAGAAACAAAACTTAATGTTAAATAATGAAGAAGAGAGAAAGTAGATAAGATAGGTAAAAAGGTAGGAGGAAAAACCTGCAAGTATATATACAAGATGGCTGATGTAATTGTACCAAAATTTTCCATCAGTTTTTTGAAAATAGCAGTTAATGTGTAGAATTTTCACCTGATTAACTCTGTATGCTGATATCTGTGAACTAAGCAACTACATTGAAGACAGCAATGTGTAATACAAAAACTGTGCTTGAATACCTGTCATCTTCATCTTCTAAATGCGTACCATTCCTGTCATATCAATTACTCTCTTTAAAATATTCTTAAAAAGTTGATAAAGCTGGAGAGATGGCTCAGTGGAGTAAGCGCTTCAAAGGACCTGAGTTCAATCCCTGGTTCAGCAAAATTTAAAAAAAGAAAGAAAGAAAGAAAGAAAGAAAGAAAGAAAGAAAGAAAGAAAGAAAGAAAGAAAGAAAGAAAGATTTTGGGTCCGGGAGATGGCTCAGTGGAATAAGCCGTTCCCTCTCAAGTGCAAGGGCCTGAGTTAAATCCCCAGTTACACCAAAAAAATATTCAATTAA